CTGCTACTAAAGGAATCACTAAGTTCCTGTAAGAATCGTAGTCATAGATAACCTCTCTCCACTCCATAACGGATGCGAACTTCTTGTGGTGAACTACCACGACTAGTTTGGTATTCCAGAAAAAGGCTCATCCTTGAGAACCAATCGAGTGAAAGAACTTTTGTACTACACGTCATGCGAAGATATGCCATTTAAGTGAAATTGAGTGAAATATTGTAACACATTTTATCACTTTATATAAGGAGGTCGGCTATTTATAGAGGGTACGGGTAATCCTGGGTTCGAAGCGCACCTGAAGGTTCCGAGTTTTGTTCATATCTCAGCGTCCTGCGGAGACCTTGATTTGCGGGATTTTGTAGACCTATAAATATTATAGTTGTATGTATTTCACATCCTACTTCGGTATAAAAAAGAATAGGCAGGAAATAAAAGCTGGAACTTTGGATATTTATAGGGTCAACAACTTGAATGTTCTTCCTGGAATCGAGCTTTCATGTGAAAAAGTTTTCTGGAACAAGTTAAACTTACGATATTACGATAATTTAATTAAGTAAACTCATTACGACATCCTTTACGTTAAAGTTGAATTTAATTTGAACGATTTGTCAGTGAGACTTTTAAGTATATAGGTGAATAACCGAGAAATCCATATAGACCTTGATTTGCGGACTTCCCGAGATCGCTAGTTGCTAGGCTACGTGATGCGCTCCTAGATTGCGATGATAGTAATTTAAAACTTGAGAAAACATGTAAACATTTGCTTTCCCACTGGTATGAAGATGGACTCAACCGGTGGGACATATTTCAATACATCCGAATTGCATTTTACAAATTCAATTTCAAAAAACTTTTTTTTTTCGAAAAGTTTTCGAAAAACCTGCACTTAGGTCATAAACCGGAGCCCTCTAGCTGCGCGATTACAGTAAAGCGCGAAGGTTTTCGCATGGGAACGCACTGTTTAACAGGGCTACTTTAAAAATAATTGCAATTTGGATCAAGATTGTAGCCATCGGAGAGCGGATAGCACAGTAGTAATGCAGATCATCAGGATCATGGTACTGGTTGGATCCTGCACCATGCTCAGCAGGCCCGCTCTCCAAAGTTCGGAATTGGTACCTATCATGGGACTGCAGGCGAAATCATCTAGAACAGCATTCAACGATATCCAAGATGAAACAAAAATTCTCAGGCAGCAGCCGAACACACAAACTAAAATTTGAAGACCTTCGTGGACGATGGTGGAAGGAAACGAATCGAATCTGAGCAGTACTGGTATCCACACAGTAAATGTTAAAGACAGGTCGTATAAAAAATAAAAGAAATGGCCACCACATTTCAAGTACATGACAGTGGTGAAAGGACTGTTCTTAAAAAACAAAAGTGAATCACAATTTCAGCTTATTATTTACTGCCTACTCTTTTTTTTAATGGCAGGGTATGCTACGAAATACAACGTCAAAAATGCTGAGACATTTGCAGAACCCCGGACCGCAGATGTCTGCGGTGTGGAACGAACGCGCTATTGTCCTTTCCGGGGAGTAACGCGTTCACCACCACACCATCCGGGTTTTTCGTTTCGCTTGTCCCTCAGCTATTTCTCACCAAAAGTGAATCAATTTATAAAATTCTCTTGTATCAGAGACTGTCTTTGTGTTCAGCCTCTTCCCTATTTTCCAAGCACTCGACTTTTGATTAGTCGTAGAACAATAGATGAATAGAGATGGAAAGAAAACGGAAAAACCATTCATTTTTGAAATAACACTCGGCATGAAAATTTCGTCAAGTATTGACGGAAGAATTTTGGGTGGGTTGAAAGCACATCGTTTCCAGGGTTCATATTCTAATAGTACTTCATCGACTCCCGAATAATTCATTGCACCATCATGGCTGTAGAGATCACCGTCTTCTTTCTAATAGCAACAAAAATGAAGCATCTCATGGAGAAAGTGCAGCGTTATTCGCTTCCGAATTTAGCCCCTTTGGTGTATGATGAGGTTTAATGGGTTTACGTGGTGCCGGTTCGAGTTACTGACTAGACAGACAAATCTTTGCATCCTAGGTGAACGTTATCATATTTCACCAAGATGAGCAGCAAACCTTGACGATAGAAATGCGAACGTAACAAAGAATATGAGGAAACTCGGATCCAAGATCATCTACTATCGAGAAAGATATGTATATGTAAAACCAGTAGTTTGTTTCATTCTTTTTTCCTTCTATTGAATCCATCCCTAATATGGAGCCATCCTAAGTTTTTTTTGCCTTTGCTAGCTCCATTGATTATCATGCCTACTCCCATCACCTTCGCTTGGTTTTCATAGAACTCCCATAAACAGTTTGACTCTATTCGAATATTTTATAAACTCAGGAATAACGCAAACAGCAGAGCATCCTTTCATAGGGTCGAGCTGCCGCTTTAGGAATATGCGAATAGCTCTGTCCCAATCAACTTCAATCAAGTTCACATATCCTGAAGTCGTTCACTGGATGACAGTATAGATTGAATCTCGTCACAGTGTTCACTTTTTTATTTACTGCCTACTACAATTTTCATGGCAGGGTATTACGCGAATTCAACCAAAACGGTGCTAAGATATTCGCAAATTCTTTCTGCCAGTGCCATTAGCAGTTACCCGTCAACGGGATTGATCCAGGGAGCCCACGTCAGCATTGAACCCAGTTAAACTGAGGCAGCAGTCGAAATCACAAAATTTACTTTTTTATCTACAGCGTACTACAATTTTCACGGCGGGGTACTATGCGAAGTCGTTGATTTTTCACACCGTTCATTCTTCGCCCAGGGTCCACGTTCCACGAATATTTCAGCATCGTGGTGGTTCAATAGTTGCGTACAGCTGCAATGACAGCGCTCTATTTCCTTATATTTCTCTAAAAATGATACCTGAATAACCGCCATCAACAGTTATCCTTACTACGCATTGTATTTCACCAACTGTCTTTCGCTTAATGCCCTGCCATAAAAATTATAGAAGACAGAAAATAAAAAGTAAACATTGTGAATTCAACTACAGCCTCAGCTTAACTGGGTTCAGTGACCATGTGTCCTCCCAAGATCAACCCCGTTGACGGGTGACTGCTGGCGGCACTGATCAATATAGCTGAGAGACAAGCGGAACGAAGGACCCACATGATGTGGTGATGAACGCGTTACTCCCCAGAAAGGACAATAGCGCGTTCGTTCCACACCGCAGACACCTGCGGTCCGGAGTTTTGCAAATACCTCAGCAATATAGTGCCTAGTCAATTTTCATATTTTCTCTCACACTCTCTTCATTCTTAATTATTGTCGTTCATCATTGGCAGCATTCAAAAATCTCTCAGGCTTACCAATTTGTGAAAAAAGTGGTCTACTTATAATTGTCTGTTATTTTAATTGCCATGTTTTACGCCTGAGAAAGCGTGTACGACGCAGTGGTTAGAGGCACACTGCAATACTCAGGTACCTTTTGGTTCTGTCCCGCACCTTGAATCACCAACTCTGCCATCACAGCGACCTCGGCAAATTGATGCGAGATATGTGTGGGAGGATGGCAAAACTTAGTTCAACACATGTTCCGTGTGCGAGGATATGCACGTAAAATATCGGAAGCCTACCTCAAGTCATTTTATCAACGAGATAAACTTTCATTCACTTCTAACGATGAATTTGAATGCCTACTACATCTCACAACTCCCACTTAAATAAGATGTTACAGCAATCAATATAAACAACGTTAAACGATAGGAATCAACAAAATGAACTTTTCGCTCTCATGTCATCATATTCTCCTTGTAGAATTCTAACATTCTCTGTTATACGTGGGATTTTGCTGTTCTTACATGCTTCTAACGTAGGTAGTTCTATTGTGAAAGCGTTATTGTCATGAAGTCGTCCAATAACATAGCTGTATCATTCTTTACGGTGATGCCGTCGTCATACCATCCACCTACAGACGACGAAATAATCGAGGCAGCTCGTTAAACTTTCTTCGATCTTAAAACATCTTATCTTAAACGATCTTAAAAGCAATGGCCGGTATTGGCGCAGTTGAGAACAATATTTTGAGTGATGCCTTAATTCGTGCAGAGGAAGCCGACGTGGATTTCGTATGTCCGTAAAAATCCACTTTCTGCTGGTTATCCGTGTTCTCACTCGAAATGTAACACATCGCCAGCCACGTTAACCCTTGTGGCGCCGGATTAGAACTCAACCACTCAATTATTTGTCTTAGAATAATTTTCACTGCGCCTACTTGGTGATTCTGTCAAAAATTTCGAAACACTAAGTGGTTTTTTTTGTTATGACGCAGATAAGGCTATTCAAGACCTCTGACGGATGGATGTCTCATTAAAAATAGCTAGAATGAATATTTATGTCGAATTTGGCTTTGTACTCTTCATCTCGATTAACTCTTCCTTATCGTTGTTTTTTCCGTTTCATTCTTTTTTCATAGTAAACATGCGTATTAAGGAAATTGTGTCTATATGAATAAGAGGAACTTTTTCTTACAGAAACGATTGCATTGATGATTGGATGAGTAGATAAGTGAATGACTGAGTCAATCGATGAATAAATGAATGCATGAACATATGAATGGATGAATTAATGAATGATTAAAAAAAGGATAAAGCTTTCGACGTTGATCAATCCCTGAGGGATGCGCCATGCATTCGACTTCACTAAGGATCGTTGGAGGTGATTGAATGCATATCTGGCCTTTACAATGACTCACGGTGGCCTATGGATATATCGAGCCAGTGCTGCTATCCTCCCAGACAAGTCTGGTACCAATCTGCCGACCCCGCAGGAATGGAGGGCTTGGTGGGCCATAAGAGCGGGATCGATTCCACGTGTGTGTTTCAGGACGCCTCCGAACACTACGCCACACGCGCCCTAATGAATAATGAATGACTAGGTGAATCAATCAATAGATTAACCAATCTGCCAATAAATCAATAAAATGACTGAATGAGCGGACTGAAGTGAAGAGAATGAATGAATGAACGAACGTATGAATGAATCAGTGAATCAAAGAATCAATGGATCTGTTGAATGAGATAACGGAATGAGTGAGGTAAATGATTAAATAAATAGTGAATAGAAGAAAATGGAAATCGGAAATATTTCACCACGATCAAGTAACATTTGTTGCTAAAATGGAATCATCAATGAGAAAAAGGAAAAAAATTATAATTACTTGTGTTCACTGAATGAAGAGGAAGGCAAGGCAACGGCCTCAGTGGTGCTGTGCACAACGCTTGAGGCCCTGGCGAAGCTAATCGCGGTCCGCTCTGACATAGGGTCCAAGTTTTCCAAATGTCTCAGCATCATAGTAAATATTTTTCAGGTTTTTCTCTCGTTGGATACACCTTCTGTCTCCAAATTTATCAGCATTTTGTGATCCTATTTTTTCTTCTGAATGAATCCCCATCCGTCCATCATCATTCAGCTTTTTGATAAGTACTTGTTTACTTGAAAAGTCATCAATCACTGAATCGTTTCACGGCATACATCACTCGTCTTTCTACTTTGCTTTTAAGATTAGATACTTTTCCGGCACAGCTCAAGATTATCTAGAGATGAGCGCGAAATGACTGCACATTCGTCTCAGCTGTTTCTAATTCTCTTTTGATTTTTCAAACCATTTTTTTCTCTTGAAAATGCAGAGGTTTCTATTGTAGTGTTTCTCGTCTCCTCTGTTTCACGCTCAACTTCAATACACCTTTTAAATTTTTCACTTTACTATCTGAAGAAACAAAATGTGATAGATAAATCGTCAAATGCCCGAATTAATCAGGTTTTCGAAACCGAAATGAGCACAACCTTAGTTGGATGGATCTTTTCGACATACGTAGACTGATAAACGGTCCGACGAGGGATTTCGTTGTGACCGATAACGGTAAGTGTTAGAACGGTTTGGAATCCGACGAGAAATCCCTAATTCCTGCTTTTTCATATTTATTTAGCGAATTTCGCTATCAAAAACTAATCAGCCTTTTTTTAGACTACTGGGCTTTCGCATTTTTGCCAATAATCATGATTGGTGTATTGGTGATAGGAATTTGTGGAATTTATCAGTATAAAAAATGGAGACATGAAAAGAAACAGGTGCTCACGCTTTCTTCTGATGTTTTCTTATTTTGTTCTTTTTATTTTCTTATCGGAATTCCTCTGTATTTCATCAACACCTTTCTCCACTAGATTTTTCCATATTTTTGTTTTAGATTGCTCATCTAAATGACTTCTACGACATCTGTGAAGGGGCAACAACCTCTCACCACGGAAAACTTATTGTGAAGCATCCAGAGAAGGCAGAAGTTGCTGATAATTGCTATTTTATCGTTAAAGCATTCCTGTGTTTGTTTTAATAGCTGAGTTCCAGTTATTTTAAAACGTGCTCTTTTTTTCTTAGAAAACCATTTCGAGTTTCACTTTTCGTTCTTTTTACCATTAATGGTCTTTGAGGACAGGGGATGCCCAGTGGTTAACGATGCAAAGTGGTGGTTGATCCACCACCATTGCTTTCTTCCAATCCACATGGGAACGCCCTAACTCGGTGATCTACAAAATTACAAGGAGATTCGACTCGACCGGCATTCTGCAACGCTCAAAAAGAGGATGAAATCTTCAAACAGCAGTCGAAACACTCGAAATGTTTTAAGACCTATGTAGACGGTGAATGCGTAGAAAACCATTCGACGAGCTAGGATTCGCACAATAGATGTGATGGCGGTCTACGGAAAATAAAAAAAACATCAATCGACAAAAAGCAAAGATCAGGACAAAAAGACTACACATTACGCATATTTTTCATTACTGTCGAAGCAATGAAACAGGGATCCTTCGCCTATTCGAAAGTGTTAGGGGCCTATGATTTTTCCGTGAACACGATCTCCAAAGTATGATGTTTGAGATTTCATACAACGAAAACATAAGCATCAGTATAAAATCCATTCGATAAATCTGGAGGGCCTAAACTAAAAGCGCAAAGCTCTTAGCATTGGATTTTCCCTGAGGAATGCACGATGAACTAAACTCCATTAAGCACCGTAGAAGTAACTGAATAGATATTGCGCTCATGCAGTGCCTTTGTTGGGGCCTACTGTTGCGTCAAGTTAGTGCATTTATCCTCATAGGCAACTCTGGTAGTGAATTTTCAACGGAAGACTTGGTTAACCCGTGTGCATGATCGAGCGAACGAGCACATGTGCACTGCAGTCCTCCTCCAAGCACTACAAACACCTTTATAGAGGTCATGTAGAAATAAGTGACAACTGAAATAAGTCAATAATGTAGGAAGAGTGTTTTGCAACATAAAGTTGAGGTAAACACAAAGTGATAATGTTGCGGAATCACAGGATCACTCAGCGAACAAGGACTTGGATACGGTCGTTTATGCTCAACTGGAAAAGCTCAGAAGTGAACAACCAAGGAACAGAAAATAGTAATTTTGCAAAAGTATGGCAATCTTGCCTCAAGTCACCTTCATTATCTTCGATTGAGTCGCTATCGTTGTGGAAGACAGTCACAACACAGCAGTCTACCTTCTAATGCAAAATGCTCTGACACTGCCTACGATGAAGCGATGAAAAAAAAGGAAAATCTTAACACGATCATTTCGAGTTTTGGCGAAAAACTACTCCCAGTTAGGCACCAATACCTCGAATGGAACCAAATTTCTGCCTATTTAACGTTGCCGCTTCCAATCGGAAACGAATGGTTCTATCCACATATCTCTCAATCGTGAAATTGATTTTTGCATGAATCTTCGACTTTCTGCATAACGAACGTTTTCCCTAGAAATGATCGAAATTACTGAAAAGTCTACTTTCTGCAACAGCCAGAAATCTTCATCACTATTTCAACTATGTTTTGATGTATAGAGAATAATACTATACAATGAAGGCATTGGTATATTAAGAAGCTAATGTAGTACTCAGCCCTGTTCTTGCAAGTCAATAATGTCTCCAACAATTCTTATAATTATTCACCAGGATGTTTCCAGGTATCTTGCTATAAAGGGCATCGTTCCGTGCTTCTGCCACCTACAGAAGCTTCGCCATTTTTTCAGCCTTCCAAGAAGAAATCTGTGCGATTTGATGTCCCACAAAAAGCGACATCTGCCACAGAGGTATAAGAAAATAAATTGAAATGAAAACCTAATGAAATTGAGCGTCTCGAACATATTCGATGAGGTCCATCATTGGAATTCCTCCACATTTTGTAAACATTTTCTTTAAGAGAATGAAGTAATGTAGTAATTCTACTTAGTTATGTAAAGAATGAAAAGGATGAAGCTCTTGGTGTTGATCAATTCACGAGAAATAAGCCATGCTTTCGATTTCATTGAGCATCGTTAGAGGTAATTGAATGCATATCTGGCCTTTACAATGACTCGCGGTGGCCTACCGGTGTATGAAGTCAATTCTGCTAACCTCACGGATACATCTGGTACAATTTTCCAATCCCGGAAGGTTTGGAAGCCTGGTGAGCCTGCGAAGCGGATTCGAACCCATTTGTATTGCAGGACACCTTTAACCACTGTGCTACATGCGCGCCGTAACTCGTTGTCACGTTTTCTACAGTCTCCTGCATATATTCTTATCAAATTGAAAAATAATTTGCCTTTAATCACAAATGTGAATGTATCATAGTGGTTAAAGCTGCCATACAACGCACATACCCTCTGGCTCCTTCCCTAACACGCGCATCGATCTAACGTTGTGCTCCACTCATCGGGATTCGAAAAATTGATGCCAGACAGGTCTAGGAGGACGACATTACCATAACTTGCTATATCGATACCATTGCTCGGGTATAAAGCAAATATGCATTCAATCATGGAGTCGAATATATGACACCTCTACACAGGATTATTCAATACCGAAAGCTCTTTGTCTTTCTTATCACTAACAATCTAATCACTAACTATCACTAACACTATCACACACAATCTTTTATACGTTACTTTCTATCCAGAAAAAAAGCTCCTCATATATTAATCTTCACTTACACGCAAAATTTCTCTTCCAGGTGATCTTTCACTTCACGAATTTGAATGTCGAGAGTCGAAAGATCTCACTTGACGAGCTGTCAGAAAGCCAGATAGAATATATCGTTTGAAGGCGAGCGATTTCTGAACTCGTCACATGTTGAAGGCTGACCACTGTTATTCAAAAGGATATTCAGAATATTTGATTCCTCGGTGCGTAGCCTAGCTAAAGGCACCATACTGGTGATGGTTTCTTATTATTGCAAGTCTCAACGAATAACAAAGTTATCTTTATTTATGTGATCTTATAAACTGATCTTCTTAAGCTGACGCGAGGTTGGTACAGATCTTCGTTGTCGTTGTCGTAGTCGTTGTTTTTGATGTTATTGATCGATGGCTGACGTTTCGGCGACTTCGCCTTCCTCAGAGCCTGGACGTACTTTATGTTAGAATACTTTTATTATTCGGTGGAAAAGAAGGTTAAAGTATTAATGAAGATCAAACTAAAGTATGAAGACTTGTAAGGGACGTATTGTCATTAAGACAGAAAATCGTCTTAATGCGACAAAAGACCTACTTTCTACGCCGCTGCTTAAAACATCGAATTATTCCTAACTTTACAAAACGTAGGAAATTATACGAAGTATGCGGCTTACCGGAGAACTCTCAACAAATGCTGAGCATCGAAATGAAACTGCTACGCATTTCATTGCGGTGCACACAAAACGAAATGTTTTCACTATTAAACAAATGTGTGTACAAAGAAAACCATTGTGCTCAGCATTTGGAGAGAAATCTGTGGAAGAAAATAGTAGCTGGGTCTAAATCGGTATGCGAAAAGATTCGGTGTGATATTAAGAGCAAGTTAAGGAAAAAGTT